TTTCCCGCCTAATAAAATTTTATAGTTGTAGAAATATTCGATGAAATTAGTGCTGACATACAGATGAATCAAGACTAATTCATACTGAGAGAAATAAAGATGGTCAAGTGAGGTGCAAGTAGGTGACCAGCCCATCAGAAGAAGAAACTAACTTTTCAACTTTAATATAAGTTCTATAGGCAGTAATTTGTCTTATTTAATGTCAGGTAAACAAACTGGATACTGTACGGTGGTACATCCAGCTGACTGACATAACTCGCTAGAAAACACTCACGTAAAACAGCAGTGCTTGCCAGTTACATCGAGGTGATTTTAACATTGGATAGTTTTTTCACTCATTTAAGCCCAGTTTATCAGTAGTGTGTACAGTGTGATTCTCCTCAGAGAGCTAAATCACAGTTTAAACCACTCGAATTCAGGCTAGCTACTTAGGTAAACTAGTAATGCACAGAAATGATTTGGCTATTTGCAATTTACACTACTAATATGAACCATAGTGTTTTTTGTTTGTTTGCTTTCTTGATCTTTATTTATGGCATTAGATGGAACACATAATGAGATGACGAAGTTCTACTGTTGTGAACGTTGTTAGGGTACTTTTGTATTTCTCGTTATTGTAGAATTTACAGTCTTAAAAACACAGATACGACTTATAGACATGTTGAAATATGCATCCTGTATGCACTGAAAAATAGTAATTAGGTGGATTTAAACAAAAATGGAATAAACAGTGGGTGTCTTAAGAGCACATGTTGTTCTCATCGACAATTTTTTACTCACATGGTCTATCCTTGAGTAGAGCAGCCTGCTCTGAATGAACACTTTTCAGAACATCTGTAGAGAAATGCAGAGAAAACACAAAATAATATCAAAAAGCAATTCAAATAATAAAAGGATGAATTAATCTAACCAATTGATCAATAGATTTGACAAATTTTGTCGCTGGGTGTACAACTGGATAGTTTAACCAATATGTCACACAGCATCTGGCATTGTGGTTGGATAAAGGATGGCTTAGATCGACGCGACACTCAGTTTTGTCCCATCTAGTTGATAATAGCCACTTCGTGCAAGAAATAAGAAAATCTCAGGTGATTTCCGTCGAATCCCTTTAATGGTACTCATATTAGTCTGCTTCATTTGCCTGAGGCTATTGTCATCACTTCAACGGGTTATCTTAGAGTGTTTTCAGAGAAATTCGTACTGTCGTTATTCATTTATTGGATAGATAAGACATCTAAATTATATTTCCTCTTATTTATATTTGTTTGCATTGGCACGCCTTTTTCATCCTTTGCACCAAAATGCATTTATTACAGCAGAACACAAGATTTATATGGCGACGGGATTGTTTACTGGTAACTCCATGCATTGATATGGGCAAAATGCATCTACCATGTCTTCGGCGAGTATTTGTCCTCACACCCGACCTGCTGTACGCTACTGGTCACGACTTCTCACTAGAACCCCAGGTAACTACCTACCTGAATAGGGCTCATGATGAAAATCCTGTAACCAATCAAATCCCTACAAACCAACACTTGAATATCAATGAGATGCTCACTAGCGACTTGCCCTATTCAGGTAGGTAGTGAGAAGTCGTGACCAGAAGCGTACAGCAGGTCCGGTGTGAGGACAAATACTCGTCGAAGACATTGGCTAGGGGTCGCGCTATGTCGTGAATTGGCAGAAGTTAGAATTCATGGGCCATTGGATCGGGTCCCAGTGGCAGTATGGTCTCCGAGATCGCTAGTCTTGTAACCAGAAGGCCCTGGGTTTGTCTCCTGGCGGTGAGTGCGTACTGCTGAAGAGTCACAAACTAGTACGAAACAGCTGTCCAGTACTCCTTGCGGGTTTTCCAATGGTTCTCTAACTAATGTCAGCTCATGATGAAAGTCCTGTAACCAATCAAATCCCTACAAACCAACACTTAAGCACCTACCATGTGTTAGAATCATAATTTACACATGTCTTCCGCATTGTGCTACTTTTATAGTCCGTATTGTGTTTCTTTGTCTTCCTTTCATGTTTTGCATGTTGTTTTACAAGCATCCTTCATTCCTTCTCTTCTTCATTAAATCCATCTTCCTGCTATTCTGTATTCTTGTAGATGACATATATATTTATATCTACATATACATACTACTTATAAATCTTGTCAGTAGCACATCACAAATGTATTGTTCTGAATTTTAATATGAGAATTTTTAATATTTTTTCAGTTTATTGGATGGCTGAAAGCAGTTGGCAGAAAATCTTGTCATTAATCAGGGAGGCTTGTCTACAAAATCAGTGAGGCTGGTATCTCCATGAGAATTTTAATCTGTAGTCAGGTGTGTTACCACTAAGTTAGTCAGGCCATGAATGACCCTTTTGTTAAGACAAATAGACCAGTAATGTGTTCTCGAACCCTTAGTGCTGACCAAAATCCTATGAGTTTGAGATGTCTTGAACAGATTACTGAATGGCTTATGTCTTTCGCTGCCTCACTAACCGATACAAGTTCGTGTCCTCAAAGGGGCATCAGATAATGAATTTGTAGATATACCCCCCTAAAGAGTGCTAATAAATAAGAAGCCTAAGTCCAAGGTCTTATGTTGACTGCGTTCAGTAAATGTCTGTACGGAACAAACTAGATGATTCTGATATTTAAAGGTGGGAATTATTTCGCCTGAAGTTTGTATTTTAGACAGTTTATTGTGTACCAGTAGGTTGCTGATCCAGGACTACAATTTTCGTTTATCAACACCTGCACGACGCAAATGTTCTGTTATAACGTCAAAGCTACGTAGCGTGTGCATAAAAATAAATTTACTCTTGTACAGCGTCTAAACACAGCTAAAAATTCCGGTGAAATTATACTGATAAATAAAGCACAGTTATTGTTATTATTGTCCTAGATTCCAATTGGAAATGGGGATTTGACAGCACATCTCTATTTCATCCTGTACTCTGCAATCTATTTTTAGCTAACTACACGATTGCCCATAAACTCTCATATTTTCCTCACACTGTCTCCTCCGTTTCACCCTCAGACCCTTCACCCGACTCTTAGTTTCTCATTCGGGTTCCACAGGAGGTACTGGCGCGTGACTTCGCCCAACGGTCTCTTCAGTGTGTGCTCGATCCATCTCCATTTCCTTGGGCATAATTGTTGAGCAATAGGTTCTTGATTGGTTCACTGACTGCCAGAGTTCCTTACTGCCAATCCTTTCTAATTATCTTATCTTCGGTATAGATTGGAGGCAGCTGGTGATAAAAGTTTGCAGTAGCCTGTTGGAAACGTTTCTCGTGACGTTCGCTACAAGTCTCTCAACCTTGATAGATATAATATTAGTATTGGAAATCCGAATCTTGTTCTTTATGCTGAGTGCAGAAGATTTCCACACTGATTTCAGACTAATATATGTCTATCTTGCTTTTCTGATGCTGGGGCTGGCTTTTCCGTCATCAGCCGTGTCATCCGCCTGAAGCTGAAATAGTACTGGCAAAATGAGATGAATAGAAGAGGTGACTTATTTAAGATTTTGCAGTTGTGAGTGTGAATGCTGGTAAACTGCAAACTTGACTGATAGAATTCAGTCTGCACCAAAGATAGGACTGGACACACACATCACACTAGTTACTGACTAGTGTCCAATCAAAAATATCCAATACAGTCCTACAGGAGGTCAATCGCGAGTCGAAATAGCTGAGTGGTAATGTCTATGACTGCAATACTCACTGGGTGACATGGGTTCGAATCTCAGAAGGCATGAGTTCCTTCGATGTTGCAGATATGCCTTGCTGACTGGTGAGTGCCAACTAGCACGAAACCTAGGTCAGGCTGGGCTTCCTGTCGATTGCCTCCAACCATCTAATACCAACAATTCACAGTGCAGAGTGATGGAGAGCCACATAGTGGCATGGTGGCCATATTGCAAGCTTGTGTGATAGAATCCAGTCTGCACCAAAGATAGGACTAGACACATTACACTAGTTACTGACTAGTGTCCAATCAAAAATGGCGGTAAATGGATATCAAAACACAACTGTCCTGACAACCTGAAATCTGCTGCAAAACCATTGAAAGCCAATGGTCACTGGACTGCTTTAGCACTGTATTTTTGGTGCAAATGATGTCACAGTTCAACCTCTGTGTTAGAATACAGGAGTTGAAGTTTTCCATTGTCTGACTTTCTGAAATACACCGAAGACATCACATGACATTATAGGCGAGTAATTATCCTCAGTTAATAACTCTTGAACCCTCTTTATTACGACTTGTTATTAGGACTTACGAAACTCCATTTTTAATGCTCGTAACGCGAATCACCACATATTAATATGACTATTCTATCGAACCGGTATAAAATCCACTTAAGAGTGGGAAACTGCTTAGCCGAATTCTACGCTACGTTCTTATGAAGAAAAGCAATCTAGTTAGATCTGGTGAATTAAAATATTGAACTTAATGATGATTCTCATATCAAAATGTATTTGTTGAACAGTAGTATCACAGAGATGGAGGTGGTGCGATAGTGTGCTTCAGGTTTCAGAGTATTTTACTTGTAGTTTAAGTAATCTCAAGCTTTATGACAAATTAGGTACCACTTCTCACCACTTGTTTCCTTGATGAGACTGTCTGGGATTGGCTTAAGTCGACAGATTGTTACTGATGTAATATGTGAGGAATGGTGGCGAAGGGATATTCTTAGTCGCACAGGACTCGAACCAGTCCGGCTTACTCCATACCAGGTGGGTTATGAAACTCAACCGCTGTGACTCGTAGTTCGCGGGCTGCTGGTTCGAATCTTGCATCCACCAGTCATCGGGCCTTGGGTCTCGAGTAGGACATAGGGCTTCTCCATTTTGCCCTGTTCCCTACAGTTCTTTTTAGCTGGCCCCACGATCACCCACAGGCTCTAATCTCCTTTTCACACGATGTCCTCCATACCAAATTCGGATGCCCAATTGCTTGTTTCTCATTTGGGTTCCACATGAGGGCCTCGAACAACGATCTTCTCAGTATATGATCGATACATTTCCATTTTCTTCGTCATATTTGTTGGGCGGTAGGTTGTTGGTTGGTTGGTTCCTTTACCCATACACACATACACACACACCATTGTATGATGCATATACACATTTATTTTCATTTTCAGTTATCTACGACCATGAACTTTTAGTCGAACGTAATCTGATAAAAAGTACACTCTGTTTAGAGTGTTTAACAAAAAGTAGACTAATATATGGGAGTTTGAGGTCAAATTTTGATCACAGCTCATACAATTTTGTTTATTATACTTGTTGATACCTGTTTCATGGCTCATATGACTTGACAAAGTTTTTATAGACAAGAGATGTCCTTTTTATATATAAACCTTTGTTTTGTTAAGCCTGCCTGCCTATTATCACGGATGATATTCTCAGTTGTGGTGGACTGGATTATGCGTCAGACTGTCAGAGGGGAGTGAGAAGACAGGAATAAGTTGAACCGATAAGAAGCCTCTAGAAGATCTGGGTTTCGCGCGTGGATGATTTATGTTTAATGTCACATAAAATCGAAGACTAGCAGGCGAAAACCAACAAACTGACAGAAGAGACGAGGGTGGCAGCGAAGACAGGATTCCAGGTGAACATAGAGAAGACGGAGGTGATGAAGATAACCACGCATCCACATCAGCAGCAACGACAACCAGCACCAATCACCACCAATGGGAGAGATTTAACGGAGGTTACTTCATTCACTTATCCGGCTAGGAAGCATTGTTTTAACCACAGAAAGAAAGTATGAAGATTTGAAAGCCAACCAACCAGAATCGGAAAGGCAAGATACGCCTTTATCAACCTGAAATCAGTTTGGAAATCTCCTGCACTCAACCAGCATAAAGAACAAGATTCGGATTTTCAACACAAATGTGAAGTCAGTCAGTCACTGCTTCTGCACGGTTCAGACACTTGCACTGCGAGTGAGTCACGAAAAAGATTTCCAATTAGTCACAAACTTTTATCAACAGCTGCCACCTTCACTGGCTGATTCCATACTGAAGATCAAATTGCCGACAGACCGGCCAGAAGGAATTAGCAACAAGAAACTCTGGCTGAGAATAAACCAACCAAGAGCCGACTGCTCAACAAATATGTAGGATAAAATGGAGATGGATCGGGTATACGCCACTGAGGAGGCCGTCGAATGACATCGCACGCACACAGGCCATTGCTTGAGTGGGATCCGAATGGGAAGCGACGAGTAGTTCATCGGTGCGAGGGTGTCATGGGGGAGATTGTTTTGGGGAGGAGGAGATGAGAGATTATGGGCAGTCGTGGTGTCAGTCAGCTGAAGTGGACAGCAGAGAATTGAACAGACTGAAGATGTGTTGTTGAAGCCCTATATTTCATTCGGTACCCAAGGGAATAACAAAAATAATATAATATAAATACTGAAATATAGTTTTGTTACATCATTTCTGGGTTTTTCTTCGCTTTCTGAGAAGGAGAGTGCACTTCATCAACTTTTAGGCAAACATTATTTATTATTACACAGCACTGCTACTAGACTCACCTGTATCTGAATTGTATTCATTTTTAATAGCCAATGGCTTCGATTCTGGCACTACTTGATTCCCATTTGAATAACTTTTCAAATCTATCTGTGAATGTAACAAAACAAAGATAATTAGGAAGTTTAATTAAAAGTCGCACTAAAATCGAGTTAGATGAATAGGAGACAGTTCACAGGTAACATCGGGAAGATGATTGAAGTCTGAGGCATGTATATGACTGCTAATAGGATCAACGGGTTTATTCATATAATGATACACTCACCGATTGACTAGATAATTATATTCTAGATTTTATGAGAACCAAGCAAACGTATCCAGAACAGAACTCCATAACGTACCATCCTGTGACGCTATCATTCGAGTGTCCTCTCCTCCAGTGGACCATTCTCATCATTAATACTTATATTCATGCATAGATAAGCATAGTTACTCTGATCAATGATTGCACCTATCACTTATGCTGTTCATGGATAAGCTCAATTCGACTTATTCCGCCGCATACAACAAGACTAGTCGAATGGATTATTATCATCAGCAGAAGTAGCAAGCACATCAACGCTATAGTGAACAAGCTCCCTAGCGAACGAAGGCAGCACCCACTCAACTAAGTGAAACCGTTAACCCTGTCAACCAATTTAGCATGCGAATGGCTTCATAATTTTTACCAAAATCATACACCATCATGTTGGTAAGCGATGTGGGGATGAGCCGCACTGAGCCCCAGATCACATTTATAATGGATCATGACTGTGACTATTAGCTCTACTTCCTGGGTATCAACATACAAAGAAGAAATAGTGGGATGACTGAAACATTCTTCCATAGGAAAGAAACTTGAACTGGTCAATACTTAAATTATCAGTTTACAAACAGAGTCTAGTAGAAACACTCTTCAGTATGGCTAGGGTGTTATTTTCAGGAGATAAGACTGAAGAGGAACTCGTAGTTATCGAGAAGAACCTTGTCGGTAATGCATATCCCTAAAAGTTCACCCAGGCCGAAACCCCAAAACAGTTGAAAAGAAACCAGTTTTTATCTGTCTAGCGTACAAAGAGGAAGAAGTATCCACAAGAACCTGAAAAAGAATCAAGAGTGCATTAAAGGGAACATTCTCGGGTGTCTGACTGATTCCACTTTACAACACAGTATGCTTGTTAACTCTGTCAAAAACAGGTAAGTAACCTGCTCATGTCAAGTCCAACTTCATTTACCAGTTCACCTACAGTTGTGGCAGCAAGTACCACACACCTAATTGACACGGGGCATACAATGAAAATTAGTCAGGATTTCAAAATAATCAATACACAAAGAAAACCATAGTAACTTGGTTTGTAGAAGCCATTACTATCAAAAGACTTCGACACAACCTCTATGCACAGAAAGGTAGTGTGACTAATCTCTCGCCACACTGATAACCCTAATTTCTTTGTTCGTGGGCTTTTGTGTTTTGTCCTGTTGCAAAACATTCCACTTAATTTTGATTTTCATTTACTAAGCTGAACTCACCATTAAATTTCCAAATCTGCTAAACTGTCTTGATTTTTTTTTTGATTGGACATTAGTCAGTAACTAGTGTGATGTGTCTAGTCCTAATCTTTGGTGCAGACTGAATTCTATCAGTCAAGTTTGTAATGTGGCCACCAATCTAGGTGGCTCACCATCACGGTGCACTGTGACTTGTTGGCATTAGATGGTTGGAGGCAATCGACAGGAAGCCCAGTCTGACCTAGGTTTCGGGCTAGTTAGCACGATAAACCTTGCAGATACCCCTTGCTGATGAGTAAACTTGACTGATAGAATTCAGTCTGTACCAAAGATAGGACTAGATACATCACACTAGTTACTGACTAGTGTCCAATCAAAAATGTCCAATACAGTCCTACAGGAGGTCAGTCGCGAGGCCGAATAGCTCAGTGGTAACATCTCTGACTGCAGTACTCACTGGGTGACGTGGGTTCGAATCTCAGGAGGGATGTGAGTTCCTTCTATGTTTCAGATACGCCTTACCGACTGGTGAGTGCCAATCAGCACGAAATCTAGGACAGGCTGGGCTTCCTGTTGATTGCCTCCAACCATCTAATACTAAATTGTTTTGTCTGTCTTACAATTTTACTTTACTATTCAGTGCCATCCTCCTGAACTCTCCACCGTAACATGTATAAATTTGCTGTTTTTCTATCTTGTGTTTTGTCTCTAGTCAACTCTTGTTTTCAAGCGAAATATGAACTCCAACCCACCCCCTGCAACCTTATCTTATTGTTATACTGCAAATAATTACTCTTTTAACACTGAATAATTAGTCTACTTACATCATTTTCTGGAATAATGTTGGTTATGCTTTGTGTTTATAAATCGACGTCACTGTGAAAATGTGTGTTTAGGTATTCTATAACTCATATTTTGATACTGTTTGGGATGCACACAGTTGAAGAGAATCCATGAAACAAAACGAACTCATATTATCCTACAAATATGTTCGTTATTTCTTTATTCAAACTAATAAAGAGAACTGGCTGTAGGAAAATAATGGTGATAATAATAATAATGTGTTCATGATTCGATTTATCAGTTGGATTCTAGTACCACCAAATGTGATATTATGTAGCCTCCCTAACATCAGTTATACCAGCGATATAATATTCTGCCTGTTTAGCAGTCATATAAGCTTGCAAACAGTGTTAACATTCTGGAAATTATGCTATTTAGTACAGGAAAAAAAATTAGGTCAAACAGATTACACACTAAATTTTCAGTTTGTAACCTTGAATTAGTATCAGTTCATCAGTAATATGCAATATAACTTCTAACAATCTGTTGTAATTGTGCCTGAAATCTCATTATACTGTAGTTGATTGTTATTCAATTGTTTTATACTCTAATTTAAATTGTTTTAAGGGCATCATGTCATACATCATAGGTAAATCATTTGGTCAATGACGAGTAAACGATTCTGTTTTGTTTAAAAGAGGCTCAGTCGTGAGTCAAATAAAGCAGATGATAACATCTCAGAATGGTGCATTATTTTCCACTGATTTAATTCTATTTTGAGTGAGGGGGAAGTAAATAATCTGTGCGTTGCAGCTGAACCTTACTGCTAAGTAGCGATAAAAACCAGACACAGGACTAGTAGAGATACCCATTAGTTTCCTCCAACCACTTAACATCAGGTTTAACCACGAGCTGATGTCAGTTAGAGTGCCACTGGGGAACCAGGGAGTACTGGAAATCTGTTTTGTACTAGCGCTTGAGACTCTTCAGCAGACAAACACTCACCGAGACTTGGACCCAAGATCTTTGGGTTAAAAGGCGAGGTTAAAAGCCATTCAGGCAATGGGATCCTATCTAATGGCGGCCCACTAACTCCGAATTCTCTCAGTTTTTGATTTGAATCTGATGTTTGCTAGCAGCTGGTTACAGGACGAAGTTGACTAGAGTTCGATTGATAAGTCGCGACAAGTGAAGTCCACCATGTCGTGTGTGAGGACAAGTACTTGCCGGTGACATTGGTTAGTAGTCGCGCTAAACTGACGTACTGGTAGAAGTTAGGATTCATGGATAATTGAGTCAGGTCTCAGTAGCTGAATGGTCAATGAGCTCGCCTGGTAATGGGAAAGTTCTGAGTTTGAATCCCAGTGGATGCGTGTTTCTGTAGAGTCTCAAACTAGAATTGGGCATCTGTTCATTACTACTTGGTTTTCATTGATTTTCTAACTTATAGCAGCTCGTGATCAAATCCCCATAAACTAACTCTTGAAAACACTTAACATCAATTTCATTATTGGTTCGGTTTCCATGCTCTATTGTTACATTAGTCGAGCAAGACAAGTAATTCAAATCGTCAGAATTTTGTGAAGAAATAGAATGTCATTTGCAGAATAGATGGTTGTCGTGTTTAAAAAAGACTATGGCTTTTAAAATGACAACTGATGGATTACAGTTTCAATGAGAATGCTTTCCTTAAAAGGGGTTTCAAATGATTCACAAGACACATTACTACTCATTGTCAATAAGATGGTATATTTTAAATTCCTACCTTTAAGTGTTTGATTTCATAACCTGATTACTGCACAAAATATCAAAAGGTGAACAGTCTTTTATAGGAAGCAGTATGTAATCAGTGGAATTTAATGAAATATGAACTTGAATCGCTGGAGTTCATAAGAAGAATCACTTAGCATAACGAACAAGATCGAAATACTACTGCTAATATCACGTCAGTGCTTCTGCAAAGTACGTGAATTTAGAGCTCTCATAATCAAAAGTATTTCTAACAGCCTACTGCAGATTCCATATTAATTTGTTTATTAGATATATCACACAGTGAAACAGTATTATTTAATGGATGACGTTTCGAACACAATTTACTGTTCATAATCACATCAATTATAACCACACAACTTCGAAACTTGACTTTTATAGTTTTCTTTATTCTTTCCTATTTGTCGTAGGCGTAGTAGAATTTTCCAGATGTCCGACTGAACAAGTGTTGAATCATTCCTAATACACATATTTGCAGTTGATTCGATAAATAAAGATTCAGTTATCATTCTCTCCCTCCACCCTGTTACATTAGATTTCAAAACTGTCATCTTATCGCATCCTATTGAATGGTTGTGTGCGACTGCATGTAGTGATTTCTTATCTTATTAGGGTCCACTAATATAGATTTTGTTCCCTTAAGACGTAGGCTTTTCGGCACATGTTTAGAAAATCGAAGGTGCACCCTTCTTTGATTCGTAGTTTAGCCGAAAGAAGGAGAGCCCTTTGTAAAATTTCACATCCTCTTCACACTTGTTAAATTGACACTCGACTACCTTTATTCTCATTCAATAGCAATTCTAACCTCATCAAATTTCTAATCATTTCTTCTTTTTTTGTGCCATTGAGTACCATGTAATTTACAGCTTTTATTTTTCTACTTCTAAAGCCACTCTTGAGTAATTATATCAATTATGTTGCCCCCCCTCCTATTACTCAATAACAGACTGCTATACATTTTTGGTAAATATAAATACGACTGTACAGCCTCTGAAGATGATTTCGTCAATAAAGAAAATTTTCTTCGCCAAATTCGTCTTTTATTCAACTAGTTATAAACTCATACAACACAGACAGACTCTGGGAACTTTATTACTGGGTATGATTACGAAATAGCAAAGATGATTGGTCAATTTGAGAAGAATCATTTCCGATACAGTTTAGTTGCGCAGTTAACTATTAACTGTTATTTTTCCTGGACCGTTTCCACTGAAATTCCAAACATTTGTAAGATCTTTTATGTACTAATGTTCAGTGTAAGACTGTCATGGTGTATAAAGGTCAGACCCAGCAAGCTGTTATCAAGTGAATTTGTAACGGAATGCTCCAGTTTTCTATGTTATAATTTATTCGCTAAAAGTCGGTGCTATAAAGAAAGACTTTGCGGACGATTTATGTCTAATGTTACACAAACTCAAAGACCTAAAAACGAGAACTAACACTTTGGCAGAAGAGGCAAGTGGAGAAAACAGGGCTTCAGGTGGACACAGAGAAGACAGAGGCATTAAAGATATTCTACAACCTACAACAACAACAAGAACAACGAGCAACAGTCACAAACAGCGGAGGAAATTTGAAGGAGGTCAATTCTTTCACTTATCTAAGCGGCATCATTTCAATTGCAGACAGTGGTGTGGATGAAGATGTCAACGGTAGGTTTGGAAAAGCAGGACAGACATCGATTATCCTGAAGTTACTGTGAAAATCTGCTGTGGTCAGCATAAAGAACAATATATGAATTTTCAGTGCTATATAGTCCGGAGACTCGAGGCGTCATGAAAGGCATTTCTAACAATCTGTTGCAGACGCTCATAAAAAACTGCCTTTGCTCCATACTTAAGATCAGATGGAGCTGACCAGAAAGTATTGGCAACAAGGAACTTTGGGAACCAACCAAGAGCACAGTATCGAAGAAATATGCCAAAGAAAATGGAGATAGATTGAACCTGCGATGGGGAGGTCACTGAGTGACATCACGCACCAGGCAGCTCTTCGAAGTGAAATCCGAATGGGAAAACAGAAGTTAGACCTCTAAAGGTGACATGAAGGCAATCATGTGAGGGGAAGAAGGAAGCTCATGTGCAGTTGTGCAGCCAGTTCAAGAGAAGAGAGTTAAACGGACGTTCAAAAGAAAGATAATTAACAGAATTGTGACGGAAAAAGAATACTAATATGGAAGAAGAACAATAGAGTTTTATTGGATATAACAAATCTCAAAGAGTGAACACACATCTGTGCCATTGACAACAATGACTTTGAGCCATGTCACCACCAACTGTCTCCAGCCATTGGTTCTTACCATCCCAAGGATTTCGTCCAGTCAGGAAGTCTACATCTCCTGACGTGGCTTAAACTAACTGTTATGGATTTCATCGACTGTAGAGTCACGAGAAGCATTTCCAACAGGCTAGTGAAGACTTCTGCCCACAGCTACATTCACTAGATACTAAAATTCAGACGACCAACCAGGAAGGATTAGTAAACAGGAAACTATGGAAACAAACCAACCAAGAACCTGTCACCTAATAAATATGCCGAAGGAAATGGATTAGACAAAAGCTGACGATACTGTTGAGTGACATCACACGCTAAGCCCTTAAGTGGAACTCGGATGGGAAACCATGAGATGGGTCATCTAGAGTACCAGAAAGGAGATCATGTGAGGAAGTGAGAGCTTATGGCTGTTCGTGGAGCCACCTAAAGGTGAATACAGAGAACGGGATGAAGTAGAGATATGCTGTTGAAGCCTTATATTCCACTCGGAACCCAAAGGAACAGCAATTAATAACTAGGGAAACCCTTCCACAAACGCCACAATTATGGATAATTTTAAAGCAAAGACAGGTGGAGATGAACTTTATTCCTGTTTCCTTAGGATTCAGGCTAATCTTTTAGTCGATTAAACTGTAGGAAATGTTGGCAGGCGAGAATGGAAAAGAAGTTTGTCATTATGCATTTCATCAACAAATCTACTCAATGTCCTTGTTTGGTTGGTTAATGACGTCATAAAACGCTCATGAGTTCTTTACAATACACTTTTGCGGTGGTTATTTCAATGAGATTATCGAAGCAGCTATACTTCAAATAGTATTGATGATCTGCAAAGTTCCAGTGTCGAAATGAACTTGAAACATTTAGAATTAATGGCCTTCCTCAAACTCACTTGGTGGCATTTGTGAAACACGGAAAAAATAAAGTTTTAAAGCAACCAGTATATATGACTAGCACAAAAAGCCACATTCACCTCAAACTTTGTACTTTCTAAGCCAGCATGTGTACAAGACCATAAACCCGTCAATCGTTTGTCACTTCGATCCACTTTCAAATTTAGCACAATAGTCCCATTGGGATATTCAATTTTCTGACAAAATACTGTTTGATCGTGTGGTACACATCCAAAATGTCTCTGTGATGAATGTAAACATGGATTGGTCGGTTGACATCCTTGATAACAATTGCCGAGTAATTTATTCTCGCCTAAAGCAGGACATGTCAGATAAACTTCAGCATTCGGCTTGGGTCGATTTACACGACACATAATTTGTGTATAATTTTGACCATGATTTGCCTTCAACTCTGGCTTAGATTCCATTTGATAAGCGTCCAGTTCATACAGTGATCGTCGATGCTGTTGTCTGCTGAATCTGTTGCCACTTAACTCCAAACCTTGTGTACCTAATTGGCAAAAGAAAAGATACAAGAAAACAATCTCAGTAAAAATTGAGAAATAATCTGAGTTGTAATGAAGTTTTTGAGAAAAATAGATCAATTTTAATTAAGGCTGTTATTATTTCTCAGGAAAGAGGCATAAATGACTTAAGCAACTGTAAACTGTTCAAGCTATGTCGCTTGGTGCTTTCATAATTCTGAAATTTAAAGGCGGTCAGGCTTCAGATATACCCAAAAAGTTCCTCGCTCTAAATCAGTCAGTAAAACTTTCTTCATGGCTAACCTCCATTTACACTGCTACACTACGAATGATATTCTCAAGACTCCCATTGTTCTTCAACAACTCCAAAGATAAACTATCGCATTTGACCTCTTCTATGCGCATCTACTAATGTACTTGCTCATGAGGAGCGGGCGAGATATATAGGTCGTTCGATGCGTGTTTTATCCAAAAGAGTCAAAGAACATTATCCCGCTTGGTTACGGAAAGGTAACAGTGGATCAATAAACAGTGCTATAATTGAACATATTCTTGACACTGGTCACTCAATATGCACGGAGAATTCGTTCAAAGTCGTCTACAAATTCAAAAGGAGCCTCCCGAAAGTTTTAAGCTTCTGTTGCATTGTCGAGGCCTTAGCGATCCGTAGGCGAAACCCTGATTTATGCATATAGAAGAAACTTCTCCACCCCCTCCTTCTAACTTGGGTATAATTCCAAGTTCTACGACTTTGTTAATAATGTTTTGTTTCCTTTTTTGTTTTCTGAATTTTTGTATGACATCTTATCAACATCTTCTTAACCAACCCTTTGTTTACTCTTTCTACCTACTGCATAATCTATTTTTTGGGACACGTGTTTCCATTACCATCCTGTTTCATAATGCGTAACCCTTGTCAATACTTACCAATCTTCACCCCCTAGTTACAATTTCTATTATTCATCACATTTTGGAAACATTTCGATGACGTAAACAGTAACCCCAACCAATTTTGACGTAGAAGATGAGCTGCCTAGTCAGGCACCCCTCCACCTGCTCTTGTGAAGGGAGGTACATAGTCCCTGGTCGGAGAATTTCTCAGAGGATACGAAGGCACATTTCAGCATAGGTTTACAAGAGAGAAAGGAAGGTCTACATCGAGGATACTTGATTGACTTCTGTCACTCAACCAACCCTCACATTGATTTTGAGATTATTTCTTCAATTCATGCTATTTCAGGACCGCATGTTCTTCGTTTCCACTTTCTAAAAACAGTAGTGGCTTTGGCTATCATGAATCTAAGCGAGACCTTTGTAATCAGAAGCATGTAGAGTCCCTATGTTTACCTTGTTTGTAGAACAGAAAGGAGGGATAGGACATTTACTTATTTTTCGTTTTGTTGATTTAGGTTGTGTATGCATCCCTTATTATTATGATTGTTATTGTTTTTGCTTTCATCTTGAGCAGTTTCCGGTACTGTTTTGATTGTCCCATTTGTTGTTTCAATTCACTATATTTGTCACAGTGTTAAAGTGTGTTTCACCAAACTTCTCACTGTGTTACATAATGTTTTATCTGCTTACTAATCCTATAAGTCCTTTTAATTTTACACACCAACTCAAGATCTATCCACCCTGTGGACCTGTTCATGGATTAAACTTATAACCAGTCATATCTCTGGAAACCAACATTTGACAACTAATCTGATGTTTGCTAGCCACTGGCTATATACAGAAAGTAACTTGCAGTTCTAATGAGTAGTCGTAACCAATGAGGTCTACCAAGTCAGGTAAGAGAAGACTGTTACTCACTTAAAACATTGACTAGCGGTTGCGCTGTATATATATCGAAGACTGGTAGAAGTTGGAATTCATGGGCCGTTGGATCTTGTCCCAGTGGCTGAATGATCCACGAACTCGCATTGTAACTTAAAGGTCCTGGGTTCGGACGCAAGAGGGTGAGTACTATGAAGAGCCTTGAATTGGGACAAAGTTACTCTCCAGTAGTCCCTGGAGGTTTTCATTAATTCTCTAACTGATGTCAGCTCGTGATCAAACTTGAAACAAATCAATACTTTATTATTGCTTCCTTTAGTTCCTACACGAACATAGAGCTTCAGCCGCACGTCTCCATTGCGTTTGGTTCTTCGTCAACGATTTCATCTGGCACCACGTTTGCTTATATGCTTTCATCTCCTCTTTACATGACCTCATCCACGCCACCCCCGAACTGACGACCAACTCACCACTTCCCATTCGGGTTCCACTCGACAGCCTGTCGTGTGATCGTTTATCTTCATACAATATGGCCAATCCACCTCCATATCTTCCTGCATATTTTTCGCACAGTTGCTTCCTGATGGGTTGGTTCCCTCCCAGAGACCCCTGTTGCTGATCTTTTATGGCCGTCCACCTAATCTTGAGTACTGAATGAATGCAGCTGTTAATGAAGGTCCATAGTTTGTTTGAGGTGCCCTTCGTGACAAAAACAAGTCAAATCCCTACAAACTAACTTTTCGTGTACATCTTATCTTGAGTGACGAGTGTCAGTTCAGGATGGTGTGAGTCACTGTATTTTGCAAATAACTCAATGTATTACCACAGCTTCATACTCAGAAATGGTATAATTAGACAACACACACACACATGAGGTAAGAATAGAACTCTAGCATTATTATTGCCTATAACACTAAGATTAGTTCGTTTCAAATCAGTTCACAGTGATACTTTATTATTTAAGTATGGTTTTTAGATTATAAGATATGTGCAGATTTCGGAATAATTTCAGTTGTTAGATTTTCGTCATGAAATAATATCAGCTACAGAGGTCCTATTTCGGGACTGTTTGATAGTGCGCACCTATAACCCCACAAGGGGTCGAGCTTAGGACTTAGGAGGCCGAGCTGGTTGGTAATTCAGCCACTTGAAATGTAATTCAGTGACCCGCAAATTCTAACTCTGCTAACTCGTGAAGTAGTTCTGGTCTCACCATTGCCTTCAGTGAGAATCCACTTCACCTTGACATGGCAGACCTCAGTAGCCACGAGTTCCCATTGCAGCTTCAGGAAATTTAACCAGCTGCTAAAATTCACGGGTCATTCACCAATCACCACCATTGTCTCCCATTTTACAATATTTTGTAATTAATTTCAGCCTAGCACGTTTGTCACACAAATACAACTATTTATTTTGACACACCGTATAACTGGAAGTTAAATGGTGGATGGTAATTAACAGTGGAAACCAGGATGCGCATTTCGTCCTACTTGGGACTTTTCAGCTATAAGCAGTCTGTTATTCTACGTAAAAAATGTATCCGCCGTATAACTGGCCATTATTGTAACGATGACAAAATAGTTGTAAGAACCTGGAGAGGGGAAATTATTGAAAACAATTTATATTTAATGTGTATACGGAGTACCTGTCGTTTCGATGTTCAGATAATCAATAAGGTGCAATTTTGACACTTTTATTACAATTTACGTTTAATCTGTTTTGAAGAAACGCTGTTTGCAAACCTCTAAAGTACCAAAATCTCAAAAAAAAACAGCTAGTATATCATTTTTCTAGCTTCTTCTGCCTTTATCTATGTTATTTAAGTGAAAAGGGTGTTACAAGATCAGACCAGGAAATGTTGGACATCAGTCCTACCCCTACTGCTTTGATTTTCTCTCTCTTGTCTGTATAACCTTAAAAATTGGATAGGTAATCATGGTTATGCGAGTAGAATGATGCTTATGTACTTTATACGTGAAGATCTTTTATTTAGATCCACTCTAGATTTTAAAATTTGTGAACTTAAAATGTATAATTAAAAAAAATATTGCTGTAAGAGAATTATCGATTATTCAAATATTGGTTTTTGTAGAGGTTATGTTTGATTCATCGGAAGATTTCATCATGAGCTGCCATCAGTTAGAAACCGTTGTAAGACCTGCAAGAAATACTGGACAGCTGTTTCATCAGTCTAGTTTGTGACTCCTCATCAGTACTCACCCACCCCCAGGGTTCGAACCCAGGAGCTTCTGGTTACAAGGCTAGCGAACACATAGACCATTGAGCCACTGGGACCCAATGGTCAGCCCATGAGTTCTAACTTCTGATCTAATGGTCACTAGCGACTGGCCCTATTGAGTGAGTTAACCTGGGCTTCTAGTGAGAAGTCGTGGCCATTAGGGTGCAGCAGGTTGAAGATGAGGCAGTAACTCATCGAAGAAGACATTGCGACGTGGTCGCGCTATGTCATGAATTAGCAGAAGTTAGAATTCATGGGCTGCCCACTGGATCGGGTCCCAGTGGCTTAATGGTCTACGAGCTCTCCTTGGAACCAGAAGGTCCTGGGTTCTATCCCTTGTGGTGCGTTGGTACTGATGAAGAGTCCCAAAGTAGGAGGAAAACTCTGTCAAGTACTCTCTGCAGGTTTACAAATGGTTCTCTAATTGATTTTGACGCATGATGAAATTTCCTAACCAATCTAATTATCGATTAGTATATACCCTAATGAAATGAGCTTGAGTTTATTTTAACGAAGAGTGAGCTCACTTACTCCATTGGCTTTTCTACGGAGAGATTTTAACTTGAAAAATGATCTCTTTTCCGTCATAACCGATAATACGACTTGGAAGACTATTCACAAATACAACGTCAACCACTAAGATAATTTCAGAACACGATCAAAGCAAGCAAATACATATTTTCGGTAAATCCTCATCACGCTTTACAATTAATCATATTGATAAAAAATCAGCCATTGATATTTGAAACAATGTGGGTCAATATAATCATATATAATCGAGAGGAATGTAAGCAGAATAATAATATTGATAGTAATAATGATATTAACCGCGGGGACTATTCTAAGTCGGGGTTGAATGCCATGGCAGGGAGAAGGATTGAACAAACTTTTCATGAACACAAGACGGGATATTTTCCCGAAGAAATCATAGGTTGGTCACTTAACGCATTACAGATCGCTTGTTCGTCTTGCATGCAAATGAATTTTCATCACTACCCTGATGTTTTTGCT